AATTGTTATCCGTGGGAATTAATTGACACGAGTTTCAAATTTATCCAATGCCAAAAGAAGGAGTAATATTTGATCAGGAAGGAAAATCAGTGCTGTCCCATCTAAATGTTAATCAGAGTTCACCCTGCTTAGATTTTGTTTTAAATCAGTTCGCAAATTAGTTTCTTCTAGCTGGGTGAGTGGAGAAAATAAAAATAATCAGGATTTCAATCTGCTAAATAACTACAGGCAGTCCTCGACATACATCCGTTCGTTTTAGTGACCGAACCCTGAAAAAAATTGACCGATGACCATTTTTCACACTTATGACCGTTGCAGCACCCTCGCAGTCACGTGATCAAAATTCAGATGCTTGGAAACTGACTCATAGTTATGACGGCTGCAGCGTCCCAGGGTCACATGATCCCCTTTTGCGACCTTCCCAACGAGCAAAGTCAAAGGGGGACGCCAGATTCACTTAACAACCGTGTCGCTAGTTTGACAACTGCAGTGATTCACTTAACGACGGAGGCAGGAAAAAAAGATTGTAAAACTGGGCAAAATTAGCTTAACAGCTGTCTCTCCCAGCAATGGAAATGTTGGGAGTTCAGTTGTGGTCGTAAGTTGAGGACTATCTATATTTTTTTCCTTATATTTAACCAGCCTCTAGGACCATGATGGCGAACCTATGGCACGCGTGCCACAAGTGGCTCTCGGTGCCATATCAGTGGGCAGGCAAGCTCAGGTCCCGCCACCTGATTTTCGGGCCTACCAGAAGTAGGGAAGGCCTTGGAAGGGTGGGGAAGGCCCATTTTTTGCTTTCCCCAGGCTCCAGAGCCTTTCTAGGAGCCTGGGGAGGGCAAAAATGGCCTTCCCCACCCACCACCCACCCCCGGAGACCCTCCAGAGGCCAGAAAGTTGGCAAACGGGCCATTTCCGGCCTCCGGAGGGCCTCCATGGGGATGGGGAAGGCCATTTAATAATTTAAAACTATTTTAACTGATGTTGTCTTGTGTTTTTAATAGACTGTACACCGCCCTGAGTCCTTCGGGAGAAGGGCGGTATAGAAATAAAATTATTTATTTATTTATTTATTTATTTTCGCCCTCCCCAGGCTCCTAGAAAGGCTCTGGAGCCTGGGCAGAGCAAAAAAACAGGCCCACCGTGCCATCGCGTGCCAAAAGCGGGGGGAACGCGGGGGGGGTCATGCGCGCATGCGTAGGGGGGCGGGGGCGTAGAATTATGGGTGTGGGCACGCACACGGGGGGGGCCCCCATACTCCCCCCGCTTTTGGCACACAATGGCAAAAAGGTTAACCATCACTGCTCTAGGATCAGAACACCCGAGAAACGTATTTTAAGATTTCCAAATCATTTTGTGTCTACATAAACATATTTGAAGTAATAAAAACAGGCCCGTAACCATCGCACAGGGGGATGGGGGGGTTAATAGCCGCTTTATCGGGGCAAAAAAATAACAAATCAGGAATGAAATGAGGCTATTTAAATTCTTACAGCATAACGCACTTGCTTGAAAGCAGAGATACGAAGGCTGCTGTGTGTTTTCCTTTACCGTGAGCTATGGAAACCGAATATTTTTTTTTCCCTTCCTCCTTTTAATCTCCCGCTGACATCATAAAAGGTAAAAGTTGAATATTGATTGGAGGCGCATCTAGGCAGAAATTAGTCAGCAAGGGTTATTAATATCCCTTTCTCGGTTTTTTAGAAATTGGGGGAGGGAGGGAGTGGATTCCAGGAAGCACATTTGACATCAGCTTTTGCATCATGGCAGAATCCCAGATGTTGTTGAATTGTCGTGACCCTTAATGGAAGGAGGCCGCTTAGATAAAAACAGACAAACTTTTCCGCTCTTTGCAGGTTTTTCATATCTCTTGCTGACTAATGCTGCTTTAATTGGAGATGGGCACAGGAATTGGGTAGGACTAGGGGTGACACCATAGCAGTCTTCCGATATTTGAGGAGCTGCCCCAGAGAGGAGGGGGTCAAATTCAGGGGTGAAATCCAGCAGCTTCTAACAGGTTCTGCAGAACCGGTAGCGGAAATTTTGAGTAGTTTTGAGAACCGGCAAATACCACCTCTGGCTGGCCCCAGAGTGGGGTGGGAATGGAGATTTTGCAATATCCTTCCCCCAGGAGGGGAGGGAATGGAGATTTTGCCATATCCTTCCCTTGGAATGGGGTGGGAATGGAGATTTTGCAGTATCCTTCCCCTGCCACACCCACCAAGCCACGCCCACAGAACCGGTAGAGAAAAATTTTTGGATTTCAACCTTGGTCAAATTATTCTCCGAAGCACAAGAAGACAAGACAAAAATGGATGGAAGCTAATCAAGGAGAGAAGCAACCTAAAACTAAGGAGAAACTTCCTAACAGTGAGGACAATTAACCAGTGGAACAGCTTGCCACCAGAAGTTGTGGCTGCTCCATCACCGGAGGTTTTTAAGAAGAGATTGGACAACGATTTGCCTGAAATGATATATAGCAGTGCACGGGTGGGCTCTACTTACTTTTACTACCGGTTCGCAACGGGAGCTCGCACACATGCTCGTGCGCTTCTGCGCATGTGCAGAATCTTTTATACATGCGCAGATTGCCAAATATGACATCAGGGCGAGTGGGCTGAGCCTCCTGCCGCTTGTACTACCAGTTTGCAAGAACTGGAGAGAACCAGGAGTAAGCTACCACTGTAGCAGTGTTGGCGAATGTTTTCAGCACCAAGTGCCAAAACAGGAATGGACACGTGTGGGGGGGGGAGCAGTGGAAACCAGAAGAGCAGTTCCCTGGTGCACATACATGTGCCGGAAAGTTGAGTTTCAGGTTTCCGGCGGGCGCCTGCGTGCCAGTCACCTGGGTTTCTGGTTTCCAGCACTCCCGTGTGCGCTAAGACCACCTGGCCAGCGGAACTCGGAAGAGCAATGGGTGACAGCTGGCGTGCCCGGAGAAATGGTGCTGCATGCTACTTCCGACACGCGTGTCATAGGTTCGCCATCACGGCTATATAGAGTCTCCTGCCTGAGCAGGGGATTGGACGGGAAGACCTCAAAATTTTGTATTGATTGATGTATTTATTTTGTCATGTTTATGAAGTGTATATTGGAAGTATGACCTTTTCAGAGCTGCATGCAATAAAATTTCATTGTAAGGTATGCCGATTAGCGTATGTTTAAAGTGACAATGAAGTTTTCTTAACATGGGATTTGTTTTACAAATGGTTAGACCACAAAGGTGGAAATCAGAAAGGGGGAGAATATTATTATTTATAAGTAAATATTGTTACTATTACTGATATTATGTATAAGTAAATCAACCCAGACGATACACTGTATAATTAAGCACTTATATAAGTTAAAGAAAAATGTACAAATAAAACTTATTAAAAAAAAATAAAGTGACAATAAAGTCCCGGCCTGGACTAATGGGGTATTATATGGGTATTTAACTTTTATCTGGTTTAATTAGGTATTTTAACTTTGTACTGTGGATATTGTGGATTTTATTGTTGTGAGCCGCCCTGAGTTCGTTGGAGATAGGGCAGCATATAAGTTAAATAAAATAAAATAAATAAGTAAAATAAATATTCTAAGTCTTAGGAAAGTATAGACTCAAATCAACTGCCCCTTAGATTAGATTAGATTAGATTAGATTAGATTAGATTAGATTAGATTAGATTAGATTAGATTAGATTAGATTAGATTAGATTAGATTAGATTAGAATTCTTTATTGGTCAAGTTTGATTGGACACACAAGGAATTTGTCTTTGGTGCATACGCTCTCAGTGTACATAAAAGAAAATATACATTCTTCAAGAATCAAAAGGTACAACACTTAATGATAGTCATAGATAGATAGATAGATAGATAGATAGATAGATAGATAGATAGATAGATAGATAGAATTCTTTATTGGCCAAGTGTGATAGGACACACAAGGAATTTGTCTTTGGTGCATACGCTCTCAGTGTACATAAAAGAAAAGATACATTCATCAAGAATCATAAGGTACAACACTTAATGATAGTCATAGATAGATAGATAGATAGATAGATAGATAGATAGATAGATAGATAGATAGATAGATAGAATTCTTTATTGGCCAAGTGTGATGGGACACACAAGGAATTTGTCTTTGGTGCATACCCTCTCAGTGTACATAAAAGAAAAGATACATTCATCAAGAATCATAAGGTACAACACTTAGTGATAGTCATAGGGTACAAATAAGCAATCAAATCATACTAGGAAACAATATAAATCGTAAGAATCAGTGGTGGGTTTCAAAAGTTTTTACTACCAGTTCTATGGGCGTGGCTTGGTGGGTGTGGCCTGCTGGGCGTGGCAGGGGAAGGATACTGTAAAATCCCCATTTCCTCCCAATCAGCTGGGACTCGGGAGGCAGAGAATAGATGGGGGCGGAGCCAGTCAGAATTTTTACTACCGGTTCTCCGAACTACTCAAAATTTCCGCTACCGGTTCTCCAGAACTGGTCAGAACCTGCTGAAACCCACCTCTGGTAAGGATACAGCAATACGTTACAGTCATGCAGTCATAAGTGGGAGGAGATGGGTGATAGGAACGATGAGAAGATTAATAGTAATAGTAATGCAGACTTAGTGAATAGTTTGATAGTGTTGAGGGAATTATTTGTTTAGCAGAGTGATGGCGTTCGGGGAAAAAACTGTTCTTGTGTCTAGTTGTTCTGGGGTGCAGTGTCCTATAGCGTCGTTTTGAGGGTAGGAGTTGAAACAGATTATATGTCCAGGATGCGAGGGGTCTGTAAATATTTTCCCAGCCCTCTTTTTGCCTCGTGCAGTATACAGGTCCTCAATGGAAGGCAGGTTGGTAGCCATGGTTTTTTCTGCAGTTCTAATTATCCGTTGAAATCTGTGTGTCTGTCTTGTTGGGTTGCAGAGCCAAACCAGACAGTTAATAGAGGTGCAGATTAGTACTATTAACTACGATAGCAACTTCTCTGTTATTTTTTTTTTTTCCTCCTTCCGGACAGATTCCTTACGAAACGTCCCTCTTGTGAGTCACGGCCCTCGCTCATCGCCAGCCGAGTTCAGCGGCTCCAACCACCGGTTGTTGCGGGAACGGAAAACGTCGGCTCCTTCGCACTCCAGCCAACCCACCCTCTTCACTTTTGAGTCGCCTTCCACATCCGGAGCACCCTTTCCACCAGCGCCCCTCAAGACTATCTCTTCCTACACCAGTGCATGAGCCAGAAATCGGAAAACACGAGGTAAACTCTTGGTGAATCAAAGAATTCTTGTTCAATCTGTAGCTGGGGTCCCCAGTCCTGGGACCACCGTCTCGTGCTGGGCTGCGGCCCGTTCGGAACAGGGCCGTCCAAGCAACGGGTTGAACACATAAGCGCACGAAGCCAGTGGTGGGCCGCTGCCAGTTCGGACCGGTTTGGGTGAACCGGTAGTTCCAACTGGCAGCTGGGCCCGCCCACCTATATCAGTGATGGAGAACCTATGGCAGTGATGGCTAACCTTTTTGCTATCGCGTGCCAAAAGTGGGGATCGCTTGGGGAGGAGGGGGGGTCACGCGCTTGCATGCCCACATCTATAATTCAATGCGCCCCACCCCCGCACATGCGATCTGCCCGCGTTCCCCCTGCTTTTGGCATGCGATGGCATGGTAGGCCTGTTTCTCACCCTAGAGCCTGTTTCTCACCCTAGAGGCTTTCTAGGAGCCTGGGGAGGGCAAAAACAGCCTTCCCCACCACCCTGCAGGCCAGAAATGGCCTGTTTCCTGACTTCCAGTGGGCCCAGAAGGCCCGAAAACCAGCTGGCCAGCGTGCACATGCACACTGGAGCTCAGCTAGGGCAATGCTTGTGTGCCCACCGATATGGCACGCGTGCCATAGGTTCGCCATCACGGACCTATGGCATTCGTGCCCGAAGTGTCACGCAGAGCCGTGTCGCCTGGCACACGCACTATCCCCCATTCCTCTTCCGGGTTCCTGGCACGCATGTGCATGCAACGACAGCTGGCTTTTGAGCATGCAGCAGTGCCGGAAACCGGAAGAGCTAGTCACTTTTTTTCAGTGCCGTTGTAACTTTGAATGGTCACTAAATGAACTGTTGCAAATCGAGGACGACCTGTACTTGAAAGCTTGCTGCATTTTCTCTCCTTTCATTAGTCCAGCTGTTGCTGCTTCAAACAATCTAAGACAGGGGTCTCCAGCCTTGGCAACTTTAAGACTTGTGGACTTCAACTCCCAGAGTTCCTCAGCCAGCTGGCTGAGGAACTCTGGGAGTTGAAGTCCACAAGGTAGCTTTGCTGGCTGAGGAACTCTGGGAGTTGAAGTCCACAAGTCTTAAAGTTGCCAAGGTTGGAGACCCCTGATCTAAGAGTCTCACAGTGGATTTCCAATTTAAAAGCTGGGAGACAAAATAGGAAAAAGGAAGAAGGGTAAGAGCCAGTTTGGTCTTGTGGCTAAGGTGCTGGCCTAGGGATCAGGAGCTGGTGAGTTCTAGTCCCGTTTTAGGCATGAAAGGCAGCTAGGTGACTTTTGGGACAATAAGAGTCTATTGTTTTTAATTATCTACTATACATGGCTGAGGCAGGACTAGAACTCACTGTCTCCTGTTGATTGACCTAAAGTCACCCATCCAGCTTTCATGCCTAAGGCAGAACTAGAACTCCTCATCTCCTGGTCATTGGCCCAAAGTCCCCTACTAAGTCTAAGGTGGGACTAGAACTCACCATCACCTGGTCATTGGCCCAAAGTCCCCTACTAAGTCTAAGGTGGGACTAGAACTCACCATCACCTGGTCATTGGCCCAAAGTCCCCTACTAAGTCTAAGGTGGGACTAGAACTCACCATCACCTGGTCATTGGCCCAAAGTCCCCTACTAAGTCTAAGGTGGGACTAGAACTCCTCATCTCCTGGTCATTGGCCCAAAGTTCCCTACTAAGTCTAAGGTGGGACTAGAACTCACCATCACCTGGTGATTGGTCCAAAGTCATCCATCCAGTTTTCATGACTAAGGCAGGGCTAGAACTCACTGCCTCCTGGTGATTGGCCTAAAGTCACCCAGCCGGCTTTCATGCCTAAGGCAGAACTAGAACTCCTCATCTCCTGGTCATTGGACTAAAGTCCCCCCACTAAGTCTGAGGCGGGACTTGAACTCATGATTTCCTGCTTTCTAGCCTGGCGCCTTAACCACTAGACCAAACAGGCTCTCGTGATCAATGAGGTAATTCTTCTTCCTCCTCTTCCTTCATTGCAGGAGCGCCAGCTTCTCGCAAGCCACCCGGTTCTTCATGAGGAGCGACCCGTCGGTTCAGAAACTGTCTCAGGAGAACGGGCATTGCGTCAACGGGTTGGGCGGGCAGCTCCACGGTTTCTACAGTTTGCCCAAACCCAACCGGCACAACTCGGAGCTCCGAGACAGCGCTTACGACTTGCCCAGAAGCTTCGGCTGCTACGCCCACACCAAATCCAGCCTCACCGGCTCCGAGACGTCGGATAGCGAGGAGGTCTACACTTTCAAGACCCCCAACAGCACCCTTTGCAAAGACTTTGGAGAACTCTCCACGGATTCCTACGACGTGCCGGGTACCCCTCTGTCCATTTACCAGATCCCGAGGACCTTCACGCTCGACAAAAACCACAATGCCTTGGCGGTGGCTTCGAGCGACGTGGTGGCGACGCCTCCCCCCAGACCTCCCAAGCCGGGGCAGGCCGAATCCCGCTGGGGCAGCCCCCAACAACGCCTGATGGACAGCGAAGGCCTCAGCATGAGTCCAACCGTCACCACCATTCCCCGAAGGAACACTCTGCCGGCAGTGGAGAACTGCAGGTTACACCGAGGTAGCTCCATCACGGGAGGTTTTTCAAGAGCCATTTGTCCAGATCGGTATAGGCAGTGATGGGTTGCTACCGGTTCTTCCCAGTAGTGGCGGTGACAGACTCCGCTGTTCTGCCCCCGCTACGGACCCCAAAGAACGCAGCACACACAAAGTCTGTACAAACCTTAGTTTACTAAATTGAATCAGTTTTTTTTTCCAAACAAAGGCTGTTAATTAACTTTCTTAACAGCTTACAAGAATCCAAAGAATAAATAATCTTAATCTTACTATGGTTGGCAGAAAACCCAGAAGCAATTTGCAGAGAACTAAGATCAAGGCGCGAAGGAGAGTGAACGAAGTTATTTCCTGCAAATTGCCTCAGTCGTCGTCCTTCCTTAAATAGGCTAAGGGAGTGGCCAATTAGCCCCAAGCCTTACTCTCGAGGAGACCTCCTCCTGAGGAGCCACTCCTGCCTTTTGGCAGCTCTGCGTGCCCGTGCATCGAGAAGAGGCTCCTCCTCTTTGTCCTCTTCACTTAAAGGAGCTTCTGGAGGTTCTGAAGGCCCTGGCTGAATCCCCGCCTCTGGCACCACGTCTTCTCCAGCCTCCTCATTGTCCGACTCGAGTGCCAGCTGCACAGGATGCTGGCGCAGCACCACACCAGCCTCCTCGCTGTCGGAATCAGCTACTAGCTGCACAGGCCGCTGACGGGCCACAACATCTGCCTACATGTGCCAGATGCTTCTGTGCATGCACAGAAGCTTCTGTGCATGCACAGAAGCATCCAGAGCGCGAGTGCACACACACGGGCAAACCGGTAGCGACGGGTTTTGCAAGCTACTATTGGGTATAGGGTTCTCTGTTTGATCAGGGGGTTGGACTAGAAGGCCTCCCATCAAGCCATGCCCGCCAAGCCATGCCCACAAAACTGGTAGTAAAAAAAATTGAATTCCATCACTGTGGTCTTGTCTCCTGATTAATTTGGGATTAGTGAATCCCGCTTCACCCCCACCCAAGCAAAGCAGACCCTACACCATCTTCAACTGGCCGAGGTTGAGAAACGCAGATGAAACTGACCATTGCTGGTCTCCAATGTTGCATTAGAACAGGGGTCTCCAACCTTGGCCCCTTGAAGACTTGTGGACTTCAACTCCCAGAATTCCTCAGCCAGCTTTGCTTTGCGGGCTGAGGAATTCTGGGAGTTGAAGTCCACAAGTCTTAAAGTGGCCAAGGTTGGAGACCTCTGCATTCGAGGACCATCTCAGTTGACTTGCTCTCCTCATCTTCATGTTCATGCTTTTGATTCCAGCTTCTTCCTGTGAAACCTATGAATATCCTCAGCCCAGCGTCAGTGGCACGGGGCCGTTGGCCGAGTCTGCAAATCTCGTTGGAGCCAGTTCGTATCTGGTGAGCTTTGTGGGCCTTCGAGAAACATCTCAAGTTGCTTGTTAAACCTCTGTGGAGATTTTCAAATCATCCAGCTCATGGTTGTCCCAAAGTTGCTTTTTCAAAAGGCAACTGGTCTTTCTTGGGGATTTTTTTGTTCTTGAAAACAGAGGAAGAGGACGAAAGAAAAAGAAGAAGAGGGGGCAGGGGAAGAAAGAAAGAGAAGGAAGAAGATCAGGGGTGGGATTGAAAAAATTAGCAACCGGTTCTCTGCTGGGTAGGCATGGCCATGGGAGCGTGGCCTATTCGGCCTCCTGCACTATGGGTGGGTGTTTTCACCCTCCCCAGGCTCCGGAGGCTTTCCTCGAGCATCCAGGAGGGCAAAAACGGCCTCCCCTGGGCTTCCGGCCCTCTAGAGGCCAGAAACGGGCCCACTTCCGGAACTTCCAGGACACCCATTTTTCACCCTCCAAGAGCCTCCGTGCAAGCTCTGCACTTACCTCGCATCCAAAATGGGCCACGTGGAGACTCCTGGGAGGGACGGGGCAGGCAGGGCCAGCCAGTCCTTGCAACTACCAGTTTGGCGAACCAGATGTAAAATTAGCATCCGGTTTGCCCAAACCGGCTGAATCCCACCGCTGAAGAAGACGCAAGGAGGTGGAGGAAAGAAGGAGGAGGAGGAAGAAAGAAGGAGAAGGAACAAGGGAGGACGAGGAGGAAAGGAGGAGGGGCGGTGGAGGAGGAGGAGGAGGAGGAAAGAAGAAGAAAGAGAGGGGGCAGGGGAAGAAAGAAGAGAAGGAGAAAGAAGAAAGGA